TGAGTGACTTTCTAATTATCTAATTGTTCGTCGTGTTTATCTTTTGAAATAATATCATTTGCATTTGAAAAAGAAACTAGCTGGTTAGAGGAAAATAAAAATTGCCTTAGAAGTGTAATCCGAAAAGACAGTCAATCACAAACTGAAGATTAAACGATAAACTGTACCCGGTAATTTATTCAGTTTGATAAAATACTCTCTAGTATCCTGTAATTTGAATGGTTGAAATAGAAATACAGATCAAACATTAACAAAGTAAATGTGTGTGTATGGACAAATACGAGATGTTTATAGAGTACCTTTTTATCTGTATTGTAATATTGCTAGAATCAGAATGTGGAAGGTACCTTGGTAATAGAACAGCGTTTATGAAATAGAAACACAAAATCGGTGAACATTCGCACAACGTAAAATAATTATATTTGTTCAATCAACGCTTAAGATATAAACAGGATACACAGATTTATTGTACAACAGAAAATAATTGGTTATTTGGATATTCTTGAGCGTTGAATATTCGCCTTCAGAGTTCGTGACCTTTACCCCTACCCTGTTGGCAGGTCGAATCCACTAAGAACTCAGTCGCTTACAGAAGGGTTTCGTTTACTTTTTTGTTTCTTTATATAAGTATTTATTTATTTATTTATTCAACGGTCATTTATGGTGGAATTGTTTGTACAGATATGATGGTCGTGGATATATTTTACATCAACATGGATATAAACTGTTTACAGTAATCGCTTTTGTTATTATTTAAACAAAAAACAATACTAAAAAATTAGAAAAAATATATCTCTGGAATTTTTCAGCTATTACGGATTTACTGAAGACATCATTTTGTTATCGTAGCTTCCGGTTAGGGATTACTTGTTAATCCAATCCATTTCTAGTAAAGCTTGTTGTCGATGATAAAGTTTTTTAAGTTTAAAAAAAAAGTGTAAGTGAATTCAGTTGTAGTAAATAAAATTTCACAAGTAATTAAAAACTCAATAAACTTGAATGAAAGCTACTAGTTAGAGGTCTGAGTTTTTTCAGATAGTGACGAAGTTTATTTCGGTGTAATCTTCGCCTCAGTAAACTGGTTATGGCTGAACATATCGCTAACAGCGATGGCACTTAACTAATGTAACAATAGTTTCTGATCTTCATAGATATCAGTTCGATTTTTTTTTTCTCTCTTGAGAGCAGCGTCTTTAAACTTTCCGGTAGATTTACAATAAAGGGTAATACATTTGCTGTTGCAATAGTTATTTTAACAACGGTAACCATGAAGTAGAACCAGTTTCCTGAACTTTCCTGGTTTTCCGTATTATTTACATCATTCTTTACTGTCTTTTACTGTGTGTATATTCGACGTGTAGGTGTAATGCTACCTTATTCGATCTGGTGATGTTGTTGTTGGCGCAAAGCTACACAATGTGCTATCTGCGGTATGTCCACCGCCAGGATTTGAACCCCCGATTTTAACGTTCTAAGTTCGTTAACTTACCGCTTACTCAGCGGAAATTTGCACAGCATCGTTTGACCAGTCCGAGTTCTACCAGTCAAATGTTAAGATGCTGCATACATATTACTTAATGGGGAACTATTTTTTGTTGGAGTGGAGGGGGACTATATTAACATGGACAATATTACGTCAGCTAACTAACTGTAACATTTTGAATAGGCTTATTATCAGTGATTTAACCATTTAGTTTAAAAAAATTAAACTGTAGCCGCGTGCAGTCATTCACCTCATAATATTGCTATGTAATGAAGTAAAATACATCAGTTAAAATTTAGTACTTAGGTAGTATTTTCAGAGACTGGCCAACGAAAATATGGGTGTCGTAACACAATGGTTGCCTACTGTATTAGAGCACCTACTTGAAGTCAAATTGGATCAATTTTCTGGGCTTGTCGTAGCATAGATTTCACAAGTTGCTGGAAGGTATGTTTGATTTTAACACAATCATCAAGAAATATGATGTGTTGTTGTTATTGCAGTGGTGAAAGTGATACTGATGTTCATTTCATAAATGCTCAACTGGATTGAGGTCCTGTGTTTGTGCAAGTGAATGAAGCTGTAGGAAGTCCCTTTGTGAATCAAGTTTAAACAATCCAAGTGTGTTGAACTATCATATCGCCATCTTGAAAGATTTCTTATCCGTGAGAGTGGAGTAGTATTCTGGGTTGAATATAGTCAGTAAAAACCTTCTTGTACAACCCTGGATATTATTTTTACTTCCAAAAGATTAAAAAAGACCAAACTGTGCAACAAGAACGTTACCCACAACCGTTACAACGACAAACAACACAAGGAAGGCCAAGTATCTCACGAGACCACATCTCACACACACACACACACACA